GCAACAATCTCCAACAGTTTGTATCTAAGGAAACATTTCTTTCTGGTCTACGAATTCAGTTGAATATCTACAAACATGTAAGCACTCTTATTGGGTGTCAGGATCATTTTGGGTTTAGACAGTTTGTGAGGGAACTGGAAGGCTGATAATGCCTATTGTTAATTGCTCTTCAGTATGGCTCAGTCACTTTCTTGAAACAGGAAATTACTGCTTTGAAACCCTCTGACACTAACAATAATGCATTTCTTTTTGGCAATATTACACATAAATTGATTGATTGGATCATCTTTTCACATGTCAGTTTAAATGCAAGTTCTACAGGAATTCAGCTTGGACAGATTTGGCCTATATACAAATAAACCTATTATTAAATGTTCCAGACATCATTATTGTAGTGTTACAACAGTATTTTCCTAACTGAGGCATTAAATACTAAATAGTCTTTCAGCTACTGTTATGGTTCTTTCATCACTATTTATTGGAGTGGATTGAAAAGAGCCATGATAAACCCATTAAGCATAAAACAAAAAGGAAAACCAAATATACGTTAGAAAGCACATACCTATTTACTGTAGCATCAATAAAAGCTTTAATTAAAATTGTATTGGGGATTTATCTAGGAAAACAGGCAAGTTTAAATGTGTTATTAAAATATGTTCCTTAAGTTATATGTTTTCATTTAAATGAAATATTAATGTAGGATTAGCAGTTTGTGGAAACTGCCACTGCTGTTCACAAAAGCAAAAAAAAAAAGCTATTAATATGGGTTATCATACCAGTGGAAAACTGAAATAGCTGTAATTAGTGCCAGCACAAACAACATAAATCTTCAGTCGCTGAATTTTTTACAAGTTACAAAATTAAGAAGAAAAAGACATATTCAAGATGCTTCTCTTCATCAGCTTATGCCATACACAGAAACAGTGAAAAAGGCATCACAAACAATCAGTTTTACATAGCTGTTTGCACAATTCATATAGGCTTTTCAGCACTCTAAAGGTTAAGCATTCAGCTTGAACTGTCCCTTTTAGGCTGGAGCTGCAGCCTATTGAGCTGGGGTTCTTGGAGAACAGGTATACGGCTGCCCTACCTAGAGGGAACTTGGATCTTGCAGACTCATTGCTGTATATGAAAAAAACAGATAAATCATGCAGCTATTTTGTTCATCAGTCTTAGTGTAAAACAGAGATATGAGATTGAAATGACGGCTCACTGGCTTTATAGGCTTAGCTAATATCTAGCTATGCACTTAGTGAATTTGCACAAGGTCAAGTGTGGTCAACAACTAAGTAGAAAATTACTGCAATGACAAAGAAGTAAGTTCCAGAAGGGTACCCAGCATACCCACCCTGACACATGTGACAGCTAATCACAGATTATAAATTAACAAGTTAAGATAAAACCCTTGGATTTGCTTATACTGCTGGAAGAGAGAGTACTATAAGGGAGGAACCCTGAAGTGTCCAATCACCAAAGCCACCTGAATGAATAACTCAATGACTGTTTACTGACCTGGGTAATCATTTAGTCACTATGATTTCAATTGTATGGACACCACGTTTTCTCTGGCAAAGAAATTCTCTGCTTTGACAGCTGGTCTGTAACCTGGTTCCTCTACAAGCTGGAGTGTTAGTACCTGAAGTTCAGTTTGTGCAAGTTGTTGGAAATTTCTGGACAATATTCATGTGTTAGCTATGAAAGTTTGGGGATCCATTATAAAGCTTCATATTTAATTTATTTTAGTGTAGGAAGTCCATCACATGTTCCCTCTAAAAACAGAGGTTTCCCCCAAGCCAACTGTTCAGAATTAAACATATTTCATAAAAAAAAAAATTCACACTGTGATATGCTTTACTGAATGAATTTACAGAGCATTTTCCCCATTTCTCTTTAATTCAACTCATTTCACATAAATCAAGCAAGGCCCTCTCTACTATGACATTTAAAAAAAATGAGAATATGCCTTCTGCAGCCCACTACGGAGTAATGGTTATGCATTTTTCTCTTACCATCAGGGAATCCATCCCAGATTTCCAATCGGTCATAGCGACAGAACGCTCCCCCTGGAGTATTTGAATCAGGTTCTAGCTCAAAGCTTTCAAATTCCAGTATAATCTCTGACATCTTTGGTGCAAAGATAATATAAGTGCATTCAAGGCTATTAGGATATTTTTCAGGGAATCCAGGGGACTTTATCACTCCACTTGATGAAGTAAAGTTTCTGGAACATTCAGGTCCTGTAAGAGAAAGAGAAAAATCACCTGGATTAACATTATGCTACTAAGTGAAGTAGTTAGCTGGAAAACAAATTAGGTCGTATTGTCTCTCCAGCAGCAAAGGTGGCTTTTCAATGAAACACCTAATTTTAATCGCTGCATTAATCATTCAGCCAGCTTGTTCCTATTATTGATAGTCAGGTTTTAAAGCGCAATTCACATACTGCCTGATCTCCAATTTTCAATTTGTATGGAACAATATGAAAACTTGTACCAGCTCTAGAAAAAATTATGACAAATACAAAGTCATGTGGGAACAATGAAAGTGTAAGCTGCAGAAATCTCGACAGAGCCCTAGAGAAATAATTATATCCCCTTCAAGCTCAAATCTTTAAATCTTATGGCTGACAGGCTTTTATTGGTGAAATAGAATTTTTTACAAAAGTGGGTGAGTGAATTCAGTAGAGGGAGTACTGGTTTCAGATTCCTGGAGCACTGACTCAGTAACTCTGCCAGATGTGACCTATGCCTCCTTGACAAACTAAATGTGAAAGGTAATTCGTACATGTACCAAGGGTGAGTGACTCATTCTGAGTGGTGTTGACACAGGTGCACCACTAAAATGTTGCTGTTAGTCCAGGCATGATAAACTGCGTGATTACAGGCAGTGTTGCTAGAAGGCACCTAATGTCAATGTTGACACACCAGCTTTCCCCGATGTCCCCACCATGGCATAATGGGATGCTCTAAACAGTGCTCTTTGTGGAGCAGGGAAGTGGCAGTAAAGATGCAACGGTATAAAAGGCCAGATCACTAGATTTGCCTTTGTGAATACAGCGGCCTAAAACTGGAGTCCTTTTCTTGTTGACAGATTGCATTTCTCCTTTATTTAGGTCCCTCAGGAATCCTCTCTGTGGATCCCACATCTGCAGGTGTGCTCAGAAATCAGCTGCAGGCACTGCCCACACATCCTCCCACAAGGTCAGCATAGGTTCCCCTCTCTGACTTTTGACACTCCAAATTTAATGGAAAGTGATTTGCAGGATTTGGGGCATTGGTGGATAGCAGCTGACCTGGGAACTTTGAGCAGGATGACTCAGATGAAGGTCTTCAGACATGGAGCAGAGGAAGGACACAGGCAACACAGTTTGGTTGCAACAGGCAGGTCTGTGCTGGAGGATGAGTGTGTGTGAGGTTTCAATTTGGGTGAGGATGCCCAGCATCCTTAGAGATGGTACTCAGGAGCCTTAGAGGATTTCCAATGCTTAGCACAGATCATTGAAGGAAAACAGTCTGGTTTGTTGCATATATGAATACTCTTATTTCACCATAGAAAACGTTTTCCTTGTGAATGTGCCAAACATATTACTCCCCACAGATTTGGCCACCTCCCAGCTAAATTCAGCATGCAAGAGAGAGGTCTGAATGAATTTAGTCAGTTCAGGTATTTTTGTCCTTCAACAGACACTGATAAGAAATGCTTGAGCTATCACATCAATATTCAGAACACTTCATGGAATATTTTGGAAGATGTAGATATTAATGCTCACGTAATCTGACCCATTCCAATTTGGGAAATTGCATTTTGCCTATAATTAAATCGTCCCCTTACACATTAGCCGGATATTTCTCTTCTCTGCCTGTCATTCCCTTGTCTCCTTGTCATGTATGGGAGGTTTATATTCTGGTTGTTGCTCCTCACTCCCACCAGTAGCTGCTGTTCCAGGATAAAATAGCTTTGCAATGCCATTCATAGCATCAAGTGCTCTGTACTCCTCTTGGAATCCAATAAAAGATGCAATATAAAATGTAAGCCAGGATCATTATTGCTTTATTAAATACAGTCAGGTCCTGGCTCTGTGAGTGCACGATCGTCAGGCTCCTTACACTCACACATGGTATCTCAATACCAGCTTGCTTTATTTTAAACATGTTCCAGTCAATCTGGTGCAAGAAACAAAAACTGTTTTCAGAAGACCTGCCTCACTAAAATGCCCTCCACAGATTTTGACCCTTTACCGACACTGTGAAGAAGCTCCAAGAATTAAATCAACATTGAGGCTACCAGGAACTCCATGGGGTTATCTTCATGGAAAACTGGCAGAAAAGGTTCTAGCAGAGACCCGACAGAATAGATGCTTCCGAGGTGAAGACACCACATGTGTGCATGTGTATAAAATAAGGGAAGAGATACAAGCTGAAGGAAAGAGAGAGGAGGCAACAGAGAGAGCAAAGAAAGAGAAAGAGATTACATTGGGGATAATTTCATTTGCTCTCTGTAGGTGTCACTGAGCTAGAAAATCATTTGCCTTCTTGGCTGACACTGTCTTTTCTTTCCATTTACACCATAAATCCAGCCAACTAAAGTTAAGAATGTTGAACGTGAACCGTGTAGATCCTCTTCTAGTGAACAGGCCACTCATCCATCCTAAGACAGGCTGGCTGCTGAAGCCAAAATAATGAACATTTCAGGTGGGCTAAATGTTAGGCAATATGGGTTTCATGTTTTAATCTGGAAGTCAGCTTCTTCAGTGTCTTTCTGGCTAAGGAGCTGTATGAGAAGCAAAGGCAGCTCCTACTCTCAAAGCTCATACTTCATTTACCAGCCATTACGTGTGCTGGACTCTCCTTACAGTTTCCATGGTATGTGTCATTTTAAGCATCAGGTTTAGAATTCAGCTTAAGACACAGGTAGCGTAATGCAGTTTTTCTTTTCAAAAACTAAGGATGCTCTCACAGGAATAATGGGCAAAAATATACTGTGTGCTGGAATGCAGCTCAGCTTTCAGTTCAGCACCACAGAACCTTGGGCTTGGGATCATTTTAATATTTGTCATACCTGGGAAATGATAAGCTAAATTGTGAATATGCCAAAACAAAACATATTAGTGTGATGTGAGCAACTGAGCTTCACCTGCATAACAGGGTGAACTGGTCAGGTTTATTTGGTACATATATTAAAATGTAAATTTGGAACAGTGTATATGCATTAACTCAAAAGTTAAAAAAGGGCTGTGTTCCCACAGCAACTATAACTTGTACCCTTTGTGTACACACAGCATTTTCTAACACTGTACCTGGTGATAACTTTCCTGCTTTAACATACAGTTTATGTGGAATGAACTAGAGTTAAAGTTGCTTTGGGAGCCATAATTTTGAGTTTCCTGACTTCTGTGTGTGTAAAATCACATTCATAATGCCATCTTAACATGGTTAATGCGTATCATTGAGAGACGTAAATGACCACACAAGGAAATAAACACAACATTTCTGTCAGAGCTCTGAGTTGCCACTACACTATTAGGAAATAAATAAAAGCTTTTTTCTGGAAAACACTCAGTTGCTAAAATAGATTGTTTCACAGGTCATTCTTTCACTTCTTGTGTTTCAGCCTTGTTCTTTATGAAACATGGTACTGTATGTATAAGCACTGGGAAACTTCAGGACACAGTTTCAAGAGTTTAGCCTCCTAAAGACACCAAAATAAATAGAGATATTTTTTCAGGAAAGCTTGGTGTCATTTGGATGCTGAGTTCTTTCAAAAAATGTGACCCTGAAGGTCACCAAAAGAATTTCTGGGAGCCAAGAGTGGATTTACAGATAGGGAAGATGGTGAACAACAGGTCTGTGGCCTCAGTTAGCACTGTGCAGAGCAGCAATAGCATGCAATAGCAAAGAGACTTCACTACTGTGCTTCTCCTCATTAACAGTACAGCAGCCACCAAGCGCATGTGCTGAATGCAGCTGAAAATCTGACTCTGGTTTAGGCGCATAAAAGGGACTCGAACTGGTCCTGAAAATGGGGCACTGTCTGGGAGTGGTGTGCATTAGAAATTTGGAATTTTGAGCTGCTTTTTTGAATATGACCTTGAACATTGATGTTGAAGAGAGTATTTCTTTTTCTACAAAGTTAAGCTTATTGTCTTTGTATACATTGTGAGTTTTGGTTCTGTATTCTCCAGGCATGGAATATATGAATTATTTATCTCCATCCAGCTATAGGGAAGGTGTATGCCAAAAAACCCCAGATCTTTACTGCCCTTCTGGCTATTGACTTAGAAAGAGAGTTACCAAAGAGGGACTGTCTATAGACCTGGTTAATCCAGGATTGTTTCTTTCTCTGGGCTTTCTCTGTGCCCCATACAGCTATCTGTGCTCCCCAGCACAAGCATCCAGCAGGATGTGCCTGTGAACAGTGTGAGCTTCTCCTCTCCTTTACATCCCAAACATGACTTGTGAAGGCAACAGCAACATCATCTGCTGCCCATGTGTACTCTGGTCCTTTCTGAGTCCATAGCTGTCTTTTGGGAATGCAGAGCAAAACACTAACCAAAATAAGTCAGGGACTCAGAAGGTTACAGTGCTGTTAAGGCAGTAACACTGTAAATCATACAGTAATTACTATCACAAAAAAAAAAAAAAAAAGAAAAAAGGAAGACAGCTAATGGTTTTAAGATGGCGGAAAAAAACAGCTGATGAAGACTATCACATTACACCCAGAGGAGTCAATCCTCAGATGCAGCTGATCCATTGGATTCATAATGATTTACACCCATTGAATATATGCCGCATCTTGGAATGACAAGGGTAATAGAAATTTCTCTTTCAAGCATTTTCTTGCCCCCATTCCACAGAATTATGGTGAACTTCTTGAAGCAAGCAAAAATCACAGGTTATGAGCTATATAACAACGAATTGTTTCTCACCTCTTTTGAAAACTTCATAACGGATAGAAAATCCTGCTCCATGTGTCTCATAGTCGGAAACAAATTTAATAAAAAGATATGGTCCTGAAGACACTAAAGGAGGGGGAGCAATTTTTCCACAGTACTTTCCCCATAAGCGTCCTTCAGCATTATCTCCATCAATCACTTCAACATAATCATACCTGGTAGATAAATGGAAGGAAGAAACTTTTAACTTCCAGGAAAGAAGGAGATCTAATTAATTTAGAAACCATAACACAACATAGATAATCAAGAAAAATGCTAGCTTGCTTGGAAAATGCATTATGCTGAAAGATGTAAGGAAAATGAAATAATTAAAATGGACTACATTATGTCTGTAGACATCATCTGGCAACATGGAACTATTAGAAAGAATGGTGTCCATTATGCTTGCAGACAATGTCAGCTAAAGTAACCAATTAACAAAAAAAAAGGAAATCTCATGAGCACAATTCTGTATTATTAAATTGTGTTCCTTTGTCTGTGTAGTGTTGTTATCAATACATAATGCATAGCATTCTTTTCAAACTGTGAAGTTCTGTTATGAATTCAAAAATGTCTTTTTGGCTGGAGCTCTTTATGAACAATACTTTGATTTCCATATGCTGTCCTCCAAACATATGTCCACGGAATAATAAATAAATCCCTAAACATTAGATTTTGTTCAAAACTCCACCATATTTCAGATCAGTGGTAGAAAAATCTGTTATTGTCCTTGTTAGCTGAACAAATAGTTTGGAGCAAATCACAAAATCCACACGTCAGTCACAGCACTTGGTTTTTCTCAGATAAAACTTGTTTCATTACAAATCATCTTTGCTTAGGTATTTGAATCAAGAAATGCATGTTATAATATTCATACTTGTACAGGTTGTGATTACTGAACAGGCTGGGCTAAATCTTCCCCTGGTTACTTGCTTCATTCCTAAGGTCTTTATAAGGAAAAGTATATAATAATGCAATAATGATTGGTAGCAAAAGTTTGCCTGGGAGCAACAATCATGTTAGTGTTCCTCAACCCTGTCACCAGAGGTGCCAAAATGTAGGGCCTGGTCTGACAGATTAGGTTTCAGATGGCTGAGGAGAGCCCAGCAGTTTGGGGTACTGAGCCAGCCGAGAGAATATAAATGAGTCTAAAAGTCACGGAGAGGCAGAAGCTCCAGGTGCAGAGACACGTCCATTTTAAAGTTTTATTAGCAGATGATTTCACTCGACCCCGGATACGGAGGAGGAACAGACACAATCTGCAGAATCAGTTTAATCTTCTCCTAAAAGGGTGACTTTTGGAGCCTGGGTTGTGCTCTGCGTCCCTTTTGGACTGCGACGAAAGGCTCTTCTCTGCCCCTGTGTCTTTGTGTCTCAGCCGCGCTGCCGTTTTATTTAACAAGTTGCTGTTAGCCAGACAATCTCATTCACTTTTCATTATCCTACTACGACTGACATTAAAATGTTGCCATTAATTTGTTTAGACCTTTATTCTACTGTTATGTTCACTGAAATGTTCTGAGCATATTAATATACAAGGAAGAGCTAAAATTGACAGGACAATAAAGTGTGTCTGACATTTTTAAAGAGATCAAAGGAAAAAAATGTCTTCGTGATGACCAATGTCATTTTTAACAACTCTGCTCCAAACCATCCAGGGCACATTACTTATGTTTACATGAAGTCCCATGAGACAACTGCAAAGATGATATCACTAGTTAAAGTGGACAGCTTAAGGCTCCTTAAATTAAAAATGACATTACCTCATCAGTTAAAATTGTGTGCCAGCTTTCGTGTATATCAAGTAGAAAATAAAGCTGACACTGATGGAACTGTAAGCATTAACATATGTGAAATATTGTGTTAACCGCATTTCCTCTTATGTATATGATTTTTCTAGCAGCAATTGCTCAGCTAGTTAGCTTCACTGTCCCATTTCAGATTGGTGGAATTACAAAGCAGAAATGTTCATTTCTGAGACAGTTTTACAGATACTTTAAGTAGCCTGCATTCTTTTAAATTAGACTTCTGTTCTTTCTATAATTTCTTTATGATATATGTATAACAGGATTTGAAAGTTAGGAGCAGAGTTGTAAAAAGACCTCAGAATTGTTTTTCTTCGTGGTTTTCTCTCTCTTTTTTTTTTTTTTTTTTCCCTTTAGAAATATCCTTAAGACCGGCCCCAGGTTCCCTGCAAAACCCATTGGAAGTACTCAGGGACGCAGGCTGCAAGTTTTTAGACTTTAGGGAAAAAATGAATGTTGAGAATTTTTAACAAGACAACCTTTCTCCAAATAATTAACTGCTCGTTAGAGAGAAAGAGAAACCACATAAAACCACAGCATCTGAGTGACAGTCTTTGCTCTTCTCCCCATGATGACATTATCTCACCAGTTTCCCAGGCACCATTCATTGCTCAAGCCTCAATAGTAGATAAATTTTCAAATGAATATTAAGAAGAACCCTATTTCTGAATTACTAAATGACATGAAAAAATTTAACTAAAATGCTAATCAAATTTCTACATGCTTTTTTATTTCATGTATAAAGAAGAAAAAAAAACCCCAACAGGTTCAAATTCTGTATTTTTATTCTGTTACACCTTAAAAATAAATAATCTTCTATAGTCTTCCTAAGTCTTTCATATACAGCCAAAATAATAATTAACCTGTAAGTACCAATTTTGTTATTATATGAAGTAAATTTAGCAAAGACTATTAAAATGAAATTCTATCACTCTCCTAGGTTTCCTTCTTTATAACAATAGCCTGTCCACACCTTTCCATTGTCCCTTATAGTGACAGAATTGTAATTTATGGTGCTCTTTCTGGCTGCCATGCAGTTGTAAATGATACAATTTGGTTACTAAAAGGCTGTCTTCTAATGGATTTTGCAAGTTATAGGTCATGCAGCCCTGTGGAAGATTGGAGGATTTTTCAATTTTTTTTTTCTTTGAAAGATTACTGACAGACAGAAAAGAAGTTTAGCTGTGAGACAATAGGTAAGAAGTACGATTTGAAAAGTGAAAGCTTTAGAGATCAGCCCTACAATCTTCTTATTCTAAGGATCACGTCTTTCACTTAGCAGCTAACAAATGGATTTGGATTCTCCCACACTGGCAGCAACATCTGATATCTGGGCTGCAGTAAATGGGTATCTGTATTTTTTTTTTCTTACGGAAATGAAATTACTTTGGATTTTACTAGTTTATACTTGGAAACCAACATCCTGCTGTCATTTTTGCACTTTTCAAAATCCTACCCAAGACCATACTGTATCACAAACAACTGTTCTTGTAAATAGGAGGAAGTACAGTCACAACTTGAAAATGGCGTTGCTGCCAAGGAAGCTCAGAAAGCAGCTTGCATCTCCCTCTGGACTTGGTAGCAGTTCTTCTCCATAAGTTCGTCAAGAGAAGACGCTGTGCCAGGGATGCAGTTGGCACACTGGCATCCCTGTGAGGAGACTGAATGTGTCACCTCCGCAGCGCCCAGACAGTCTTGGCATGCAGCCCAGAATACTGAGTTTGCAAATTTGGATTTCCCACTTGGCAATTCTTCGCTCAGTTACTGCTGCCAATGGTGTGGCAAATATTTCTTATAATGTTATAGTCCTTTAGGGTTTATGGCACAGAGATGTAAATATAAACATGGTGCTAACCATTGAGTGTAGTTTCAGGTGAAAGCCTAGAGCATGAGTTCATGAGCAAAAATAGGAGACACTTGCCCAGAAGAGGGGGTAATCAGTGGAAACGTTCATGCAGCCACTATGCCACGATGCAAAAAGCATTCTGTTTTTGGTTGTTTGAGTCTTTCCAGATTTCCCACTTTTGTATGCTTTCTGTTTGCACCCTTTGGGGTGTGCAAGGACCATGTGTGTCTCTCCGGTGGGAGCCTGCTGAAATGCACTGCAGAGCTCTGACACTGCCCCCGCTCCTCCCAGCTGGTGCCTGAACATGCCATTACTAGATGGTCCTAATTTTATGGTTCAGTAAAACAATGTCTGGGACAGATTCCCAATGGAAAGATGAGGGAATCTAGAATTGCTCTACAAATTCTTGAAGGAACTGCAAAAAACTTGCTCTTTTTTGGAAAGCGTAAGTTACGGGTTTAAGGAAAAGGCCAAGCAGTACCTATAAAATAAGCATGGGGCAATGAAAAACATAAACAGCTGCAGAATACAGATTTTGGTGAATTTTCTATTTCCAGTTTTTAGTAGGTGATAACAGTGCTTACGTCTGGTTTCAGTTCTGAACATGCTGGCGACCTCTGAAATGCACCATAGCGTGCTGTGCTGCAGAAAGTGAAGTGAAAGCGCTGGAAGGCCCTCTGCCAAGCTACGCTTCGCTTCTACACATTTTCCTATTATTAGGGCAGTGAGATCTTACGCCTTTTGCCTAAAAAAATTCCTTCCCAAGACATATGCAGAACTCGGCTAAAATCTAAGTATCTGCCATTTAACCTTATGAAACAATCAGTGAAGCATATATAACTATAATTTACATCTGAATATGCCATATTTTTCTGCAGCCTACTACGATATGCATCTATAGAGTGGTTATGAGTATTTTGATTATTCCCCTGTTAGAATGAAAAGATTTTCCACCTCTCTGTTTCTTTTATCACTCTGATTCCACTTCCACCAAGCTGCTAAGTCTCTCCCTGACATGAATTATCCACCTTGCTCAGACTATCTTTGGTTCTGAGAATTTGCTTCTTAGTATGTATCTTTCTTTTGCCTTTATTTTATAAAGAATTTTTTTTTTTATTCCTCACAAGGCTCCATTTTAGCTGAACAGAAGGCATTGCAAGAGGAAATCTAAATAAGGAGTTTCAAGTTGTTCTGTACTGTGGATTTGTGCCCTATTAGTGACTGAGGGTTAGCAGTGTGGGATTTACTGCAATGCTTGTGGCACAAGGCAATCTGTATCCCAGAGCTAAAAGCTTAAGAACTGCAGGCACTCGAGGGACACCAACCTTAATCCCAGTTTATTAGCAACAAGAAAAAGAAGTACATGCTGTTAAAAATAAAAATTAAGCACAGCCCCAAACGGGCTGTTTTTCTGCCTGTAACCCCAGCGTCTGTTGGGTTGCTCTCCATCTGAGCCTCCGTGCAGCCTGACTGCTCTCCAGGGCCTCCTGTGCCCCATTCTGGCTAGGTGACTGGTCTAATGGGC